TATTATGTCGTACTCCATTGACATATTACAATAAATGTGAAAAAATAAAAAAAATAAAAAATAAAAAAGTATGAAAGAAATAAGGAAAGATATTAGAAGATAGATAAAAATTAGATCTAAGTGAGGTTTAATATTCACTTATAGCTTTTTCATAAAACTTGTAAAAAAAATCTAAAAAAAAAATTATTGACTTGGATACATATAGTATTGTTCCACCAATGCTTTTAAAAAATTTGAAGTCTAAACTCTTAATATTAAAAATAATAATAATAATAATAAATTAAATATTTTTTAAAGAAAGTTAAAAAAATTATAATTTCAATTCTTAGAGTTACTAGACCTTTGCTAAATTTAAGTTAGAGTTCCTATACAAAGGTTTCAAAGACTCTCTATATTTTTAATGCATATTTCTTGCTATTGTCTCTTGATCGTATTGTTGCTACCAATATTGTTTAAGTTTTGTTTCACATATTTCCAAACTATCTTTTTATTTTTAAAAATATTGTCATGTGATAAAATAACTATATATTAAAGAAATAAAAATATAGATGATATAATTGTAATCAAAAATAAATATTAAGAAGGTATTGATTACAATTAGATTAAGAAAGATATAATAAAAAAATATTAAGAAGGTATTGATTACAATTAGATTAAGAAAGATATAATAAAAAAATATTAAGAAGGTATTGATTACAATTAGATTAAGAAAGATATAATAAAAAAATATTAAGAAGGTATTGATTACAATTAGATTTTTGCTTACCTAATTGTATTTATTTTTTATTACAATTAATTAGAAATTTATAATAAAAAAACAAAAATAAATATTAAGAAGGTAATTAAAACTTTAGTCTTAATATTACCTTTTTATAGAATAAATTTCTATTTACTTTGTAGAGACTTAAATGAGTTACATCAAAATAAAAAAAAAAAAGTAATTAACATAGGCATATTTTTAAAAAATTAAAAATAGGTTTTAGCAAAAATTACCTCAAAATATGAAGAATTGATATCCAAACATGACTAGTTATGAATTGAGGACAAAATCAGACCTTGAGGCACAAAATTGTGCACCTATGACAATTCTAAGGTTCTTTGGTTGATAAGAGAGTGGGATTTGAAGGTAGATAGGAGAAAAGTTTTTTAAGCATTGGTTTCAAGTAATTAGAAGTTATAACAACTTTGTAAAGACTTTGCAAAGTTAGGATTGTTATTAAGTGACTTTGGATTTTGAGAAATTCAAAGAATTTGTACTTTGAAAAATTATGTAAATCTTATAAATGATATATAGGTGAATTTTTTTGATTAAGTAAAAATTATTGTATGTAATTTGTATTGCAAGTTTGAGCTAATCTAATAGTTTGTCTAAAGTTAATTGAAGCTCAAACATATTAAGGTCTAAGAAATTGGAGTTTAGAAGACTAGTGTGGGTTTTTAAGATATTTGTCAATCCACAAGTTGGATTAAAATAAAATTTTGTACACAAGTAATAAAGCTGACTTCTAAAAATTGTGAAAAATTTAAGATCTATTAAATAGTGAAATTAAGAGATTTTGGCTCTAAAATAATAGAATCATGGTTGAAAAAGCAAATCAGCTAATATCCAAGAAAATTATAGGAATTATCTTCTTTTTTTTTGCACTTGTTTTCCACTTAAATATTGAGTAGTCAAAATAAATAGTTAAATTATTAGTTATTGAGATTTTAATTTATTGTAGGATTTATTGAGAATTTATTTAGGTTTTAGAATTTTATCAAGATTTCATTGGAATTCATTAAAAAAAAATTTAGGATTTGATCTAAGGTTTGATTAAGATTCATTAAGATTTCATTAGGATTGGTCTAAGGTTTAGGATTCAGTTAAGATTTAATTAGAATTTGATTGAGATTTAATTAAGATTTGATTAGGATTTATTTAAGATTTATTTAGAATTTAATTAAAGTTTTTATTTTTAGGATATATTTATAATTATTTATTATTTATCTTTAAAATTATATTTTTATTATTTTCTAAAAATTATTATTATTTCTTTATTTTTATATTATTTAAGTTGTAATGGAGAAGATATCACTACTCAAAGATCGCTGAACCACAAACCCAGAATTCGCTGTTTTGCAACTTTTTGTAAATTATGAGTCCAAATCACGTCTAAATGGTGGGGAATGAATTGTAAAGTAATTCTATGGCTCTCATAAGTCTCCCTCACGTCACTCCACTCAAAATGACTCACTATCTCATGAAACTTTCAAACACTAGTGTTACTTCAGCAAAGACACTATCAAGGTCTTGCACAAAACTCATATACTCACAAATCCAGGAGCAATGACTTCAACAACACACTAAAAACACTCTACCATAAGATCCCAACCACCAAAATAAGCAACAAAGAAATAATGCAAGAACAACTTACTTGGTAAGAGAGTGTGGGCCCATAACCTATTTAAACATAGAAAGCAAACTCCACACAAGCAAGTTAGGACCAGCAAGGTTGCACTTCACAAATAGAATGTGGTATGAGATGATTCTTCCCATGCCAACCCTTTTCTTATATACTAGTACGAAGGTACCATGTGTTACAACCCGTATGGGTTATCTCTTAGGACCCGCCCTCTCCTTGTATTCTTAGGCACTATAGACCAGCAACTAACCTTGTAGAATATCCCTCATTACTCATATACTCTATTGACCATTAGCAACAACTAAATGAGTTCTTTTCTTCAATATCTATAAGAGCTACTATGGATTTCTATAATTTGAGTCCAAATTCTTGAAATTTAATCAACCAAAAAAATAGCTTTCTCAAAGGTAATCAAAAAAACCACATCTTATAAAATAATCTCATACATTCCACTCAACTTACAAAATACAATCTAAAGTATTAAGCTCTGATATCATGTCAAAAAATCTGAGATATACATTACTATTAGATAGAAGTGTAATGATGTGAATCTCTTAAATTACTATGAATGATAAAGTTTATAGAAAATTATAAATTATTATTTTTAATTAGAAAAAATTCAATTAATAAATATATGAATATTTAATAAATTTAAGAGATCATACAATAAAGTAGAAGGTTTTCTTAATACATCATCATTGATTTGTTATTGGATAAAATATTTGCATTAACAAAATATTTTATATTGTAAATAAAAACTATCTCAAAATTGTCAAAGATATGAATGCAGACAAACTTATGAAAAAATAATATGCCCTTCCATTACTAAGAAAGAAGATGGGAACAAAAATAGAAAGAATACAAAAAATTGCAATATAGTTATGATTTATAGATAAGTTTTTACTTTAAATAGATACCAAGATCTATTTTTAGCTCTATATTACAAACAAAAAACTACATTAAATCCTATTATATAATGGATACATAGTCAAGAAGTAGAATTAAGTAAATTTTAGACTTCAAATATTCTAAATTATGGTGCTACTACAACATGAAACTTATTTTATTACATAAAAAATATTTTGAATTTATAAAAGTAAAACCAAAACCAAAGAAAAGTCATTATATCTAATATTTCAAAGACACAACAAAAACTTGAATTTTTACAGATTAAAAACTTAAATAAATCATAATAAAATTTTAAATATTTTTAAAACTATTGTGTGTAAATCTGTAATTTTGATAGGCTACACAAGTTCAAATATCCAAGAAAAATGCAAAGGGAGAAAACTTTACAATAACTAAATTTGTTTCCTACAAACCACTAGGATAAAAAAAATAAAAAAAAGTAATTTTGTTTTTGATCAAACAAATTTTCTATTTGGTGATACAGGTTATTTTTGTATGTACTGTAAGTTCCTGTTCTTACATTGAAGACTGCTACTACGTATAAATTTCATTATTAAAAAAGTAATAGTTTTTATTCTTAAATTTTATATTTTTATATCAATCTTTTATAAATAGTATCACATTTCACCACGATGTTTTCCATTTTTTTACATAAATATATTGTATTAGAAGTGCAAAATTATTTTATATTCTTGCATATTTTAAAAAAATTCTAATGAAAGAATACTTTTTTTTTCCATTGATGTAGTAGTTACAACAAATAAAAAATATGTATATGAAATTTAGTTTCTCTACAAATTTTTAATCTAAAATTACATGTTGATATTTAATTTGTTTAAGACTATAGGCCGTTCCACAAAAATTGTTAAGTTTGCTTTATATTAGAAGTAAATCTTGCATCAATCTTTTAAAGTTTCTCCACCGTTAACAATAATCCATCTACCTAACATAAATCCCAGTAGAACGATGTAAATCAAATTTCAAGATCTTAAAACTAGTTTTTATTTATAATATTTCAAAGCTGGCTACAAATATAAACATGAATATAATTTTTTTAAAGATATCTAACTACATTATACTTCGATAATAAAAATTGATTGTTAAGACCTTTTTACTAGCAACCACAACTGGATTAGCCTCATTCCTCAGTGGCATCAACATCAGAAACCATGAAGGCTGAGGACCACTACGAACAATGCAACACGTCCTGTTGCATGCCATGGATGCTGAATGGCAATGGAAGATTGTGGTGTGCTTGTGATCGCTAAGTAGAGAGTACCGAGATGAAGAGAAGTGAAGAGAAGAGAAGAGCTGGCTGTTTCTATTGAAAAAACGACAAGTGATAGTCACAAGCAAATCAAATCCAACATGTAAATATATTCAACGTACGCATGAGCTTAAGAAACACAGACCACTTCAGAGAGGTGCCGCACACTGACTGACTGTGCACACCATCTCCATTTTCTTATTCTCTGTGTGATGTCGGGGGTAGTAAGTACCATACGAGTTGAAGAGCAGCAAACAGTAGCCATTCCTTTGAATTCTGAATTTTGCAGTTCACCTTGCCAAGCATTCTAGAAAGTTGGGCGAATTCGCAACGGCATTGCAAGAGTGAGGCTTGTCAAAGTAGGAAGTTTTGGTGAAGTGGAAGAAAGCTAACGATGTGCACGAGAGGTAACACCTGGATCATCATCCACTAGAGCTGGAGTTCCCTTCATTTTTCTCCTCCATCACTTCTTTTGATGCCGTCTTTTGTATGAGTCCCTTAACATCCTTGGGCTCTTCCTGCTGCAAATCGTTGGTATTCTGCGGATCGTTGCCCTTCTGCTTTGCCGTTCCACTGCCAGCAGACTCGTTGGGCTTGCCAGACTCACTCTGCTTGCTCATCTGTGTCTGCTCGTCTGAAATCAGGCTGGAACGTCGCCTCTTCAATTTAGGCTTCTTGGAGGAATTTCTTGGAGTTCGGTTGGATGTGGTTTTGCTGCTGCCACTTACCTCAGAAATTTGTTTGACCTCCTTTCTGGACTTTCTCTTTCTTTTGCCTTTCTCAGTGCCCATGGAATCATTCCCCCTTAATGTACTATCCGATGGATAAGAGGCAGGGCTCCCACTCGTTTCATCGGAGAATGCTTGGAGAGAGGTGGCAATCGAAGTATCATTTTTGCTGTTTACATCAGATTGACCTCGCTTAATATTTTTCCCTTTGCAGCCTCGTACTAACCCGATGGCTACCCCCACATCACTGACATGTCTAGATTTCTTTTTGAGCCGCTGTTTCTTAGCTGCAGGTTTTCGTCTGCGGGGAAAAAAAGCTTTTCTCTTCACTACTATAGACTTCCTCGATTTGGACCCCTTTCTCTTCCCCGATCGCTTCGCCATTGCAAAGATTCAATTTGAATGCTGCTGCCACAAGAAATTGACAAAAAGCTTCACAGTTGCAACATTGGATTGACCCAGCTTGTCAGAAACTTGGCAGGACTCGACATGGCTTTGGTCGCCATTGATGAGTGTCACTTCGGATGATATTGTGGCTATTTCAATCTGAATTCTTCTTTCCTTGATAAGAAATCCTCTTAATTAGGAGATCTCGCTTCGTGGAGTGCGAAGATAAAATGTGGGTAAATTATGCAAGTGTTAGTCCGCGACTATTCAGATTTGACCAGCGAGCTCAAAGATGGCAGCACTGCAAACAGGAACGAATTTATTTGAAAGACCAGAGTTATCGCCTTGCCAACGTTTGAAGAAGAAATTTGACGATGTTCTGTCCCCAAGGCTTGACAATGTTGTCTTTTGATTAGTAAGCGTCACCTTCTGACAGACGCATCGTTTCGCTCAGCGATTGCATGCTATAGCGCACTTTGAAAGTACCTTTTGGATGATCTACCTCTTTGCTTCACTTACTTCTGAAATGGAAGTCGAGATCATTGTGTGAACAGCCGAATTCTTGTCACGTGCTTCCCTTGTCCTCATTTTGTTGCATGTGCTTTTGGTGAAATTTCTTGTGGAGAATTAGATTAAAACAAGAAGAATGGCGAAGAGAGCTCCAAAAAAACGGCTGGTCAGGAGAAGAAGAAAACCAGTCGGAAAGAGATCGACATACGCCAGGAGGAGGAAGAGAAGGCAGCTAAAAGATGAGCGAGCAGGGACGGCAAGGAAAAGACGGAGGACGGCGGAAATGGAGAGTGAATCCACAGGAGGAAGACGAAGAGATAAGGAAGAGCGCGGATCGAAGAGGAGGCGTCGATGCGAAGAGATCTCTCAAGAGGAGACCATGACAGAAGAGTCCTACAGAAGCAGCAGTATCAAGCAAGGCAACAGGAGCAACGACGAGACAGGCAAGAGCAGCATCTCAAGCAAGGAAAAACAGGAGACTGCAAGTGGCACTGAGAGCGAAAGCCCTCGCAGCAGCAGCAGCAGGCGAAAACGGGGAGGGGGCAGCAGCATCAGCAGCAAGGCTGCAAGTCCCGCATCGAAAACCAGCATTGAAACGGATGCGAGCGAGTCACTGAACCAAGTCACCTTGGAGGCGAAACCAGCCGAGCGAAAACGGGGAAAGGAAGCTCGGAACGACGAGGACGACGAGGACGACGAAGCAGAAGCAGCAGAAGAAGACAGCCACACCTCCGACGACGACGACGACGAAAGCAGCAGCAGCTCCTGCTCTTGACACACACACACACACCCCCCCCCCTCCTCCATTCCCCACACACACCCCCAAAATATAACATTCTATCTCTGCCTGCAATAATAAAAGTTTTTTAAGTTTCTCATTCATTATTTTTAAGATTTGATTTTAAAAACTTGGAAAGTTAATTATTCGACTTGATGATTAAAAAAACAATTGCCCATGAAAATAATGTATAAAAAATATGTTTTAATTTTAAAATTGCAATTTAGTTTAGGAATTTTTTTTTTGCAAATTAAAATTAAGATTTAAATCCGAAAAAACTCTTTAGGTCTATCACATGAAATATTTAAATATTTATATTCATGTAAATTTCATAAAAGCCATCAAAAGATACAACATATATTTAAGTCTAATCTAATAAATGTAATCACAATCCATTTTATATAGAAAATTAAAAAAACACATCATTTACTAATTTTATGTTGATAATTTGTCAGAGTCAGTCAGAAATATGTGCAATTTTCTTTAAATAATTCAAAATAATTAAACATAAATAAATCTGCAATAAAAAGAATAGATTTTACATGTGTGACTATGTACTCTCATGTAGATACAAGTCTAAATAAATTTACATAAAATGAGTGACTAAATTTTTTTTATTATCTTAAAATATCTAAGAATTTATTCTATAGGATTCACATTTTTCTTTAAATGTGATTTAAAAAACATTAGATTCTATTAAGAATACTCACATTACTAAATTTGATTATAATTTTTTGATTTTTTTATATCATAAATATTGATTTATTTCTATGATATTTAAAATAAAAATAAATATATATAGACATATTAAAATTTCAAAATGCATACAATTATATATGTACTAATTTTTAAATTTCTAATATTTAAAAAGATAATCTTTATTAAAAGACGTTGAAGTAAAATCATGAAAAAATATTTAATATCGAATTAAGAAACAATTTAAATTTTTATAAATATATAATTTTATGTGCTACAAAGAGTTTTGTTTTTGCACATTGCAACAGTAATTCTTGCGTAAATTTTCTAAAAAAAATTGATTTTTAAAAAAAAATATGGTAACTGGGATGCTTAAGGATAAAAACTTTAAAAATAAATAAAAAATAATAAAAGACATACTTCAATCTTCTCTATTTAGTAATATTATTTAATTATTTTTAAAATAAGAATCTAGAAGATAATTTTTCCTATTAATTAATAAATATAGAGACAAAACTAAGTTCATTTTTAATTTTATTGATGTGTATTTTTCTTTTTTCTTTTTCTTTTTTTTACTTTGTTCTTTCTTCAAGTCTCTTTAGCATTTTTTATTTTTATGTTTAAATTACTCAAAAAAAGATTCTGGTTGCTTTAACGAAGTAATTATTATTTAATTTTAAAAAACCTATTTTTTATTGTTACATATATTTATATTATTTAAATAAATAGTATTAATTAGAAACACATCAAATAAATAACATATTCTAGAAACTTGTGTAAATTTTTAAAGTAAGGATTAAATGTACAAGAAACTGTTATACATATAGTTTTATCTTCATAATACCATATAAACTTGTATTATCAATAGCTTCTTAATTCTCATAAAAATATTTGGTTGTGTCTAAGTTTGGTACGTGGACTCCGCCGATGTTGCACCTGGACTCCAATTGTTCAAGATTCAAACCTCAAAATGTTGCGAAATCGTCTTGTCTGCGCTGAAAAAGGAAGAACAGTTGCACCTTTCCTGTTGACTGTGTCAGTTGCTTAACAGGTCTTCAAGTTCCCAGCACGCAGAGAGAAAAAAATGAATGCTCGGCTGTGGGTCTTTTAGTTTGCCATAACTGATGTTGTGATCCAACTTTGTTCATTAAAAACAATAACTTAATATGTATACCTCGATTTTTGAATTAAATATCTAGTACGTGGGGTATTTTTATTTATTTTATTTTTTTGCAGCTTTAGCACGAATGCAATGGAGTGGATGAACCCTTAACCTAACACGCAAAGTATTGGATGAGTTCAATCTTTCTATTTCGAGGAAATGGCACACGAAATTGTTCTCAGTGGGCACGTTCCTTTCTTCTCCTCATGTTCTGTTGAGTATAATCCAACTGTTTTAAAACAAGAGAGGATTCCAAGATACCCGGAATCAAGCTCTGTTCAGCATGCCCTCTGATCAAGTTGTGAGATGAGAATTTAGGACCTAGATTGCAGCACTTCCCAATGGTTTGACTGCTTCGGCCATGAAGAATCGGGTTAATTGAGGATGTGGAGACGTCCGAGCAAGGGTAATCTACGAGGACTTGACAACCTTACGCTACTCACCAGTATTTGTATTTCGTGTAGCAAATGTTTGTGACCTCAGAGTAGTTCTGAAAAGGACATATTTTGCAGCATCGCTATCCAAATTAATTTCACAACGTTCAAACTTGCTTACTTCCATCACTTGCTCTTCTGGGAAATCTGATGAAGTAAAGAGAAACACAACCGATCATTTATGACAAGAACTTTGCAGAAAGGATCATGTCATTGGCAATCGCCAGTTGCCGTACGGAAGTCACTAAGAACAGACCGATTAATGACGCGACCAAACTCAAGAATCCAGTTGGGAGACTTCGAAAGAAACAGGCTTCATCAATTAAGTGTCAATTTGCTGCTCTATTTTTTATATATTTTATATTTTATTTTATTAATAAAATGACGTGGCCTTCAATGTAGATGTCAAGGAAGAGAAGCGTAGGTGATTTGTTTTGCACCACACTTAAGTTTATTGCCGACATTCACCACCATGTTGAGTTTGGTGGAGGATGTACAGATTACCTGGGTCGGTAGCACGTTGCGCAAATGTCGGATAATTGAACACAATCGACTGCAGCCTTGCGGGGATTTTAAACCCAAAGGGAAAAGTATCAACGTTTATCGACATTTATGAGAAAGCGTAGTTTACGGTACATGACATGGCAAATTCAATACTAGTGCGTAGTGTTGGAGTTGCAGATTTCCTGATGCTACCTATGTGCGCATGTGGTGATTCCTTAGGGAGGAATTGATGCTTGTTGCTATCTTCATTATTTCAAGTAACAGAGATCGCTACTTCTAGAAAATGTAGAAAACGATGCGGGGGCGTGTTGGAATAGATGGCGATCGCACAGGCATGCTTCCCAATTCTACACCAGAAGTCATAGTGGCCTCATATGGTTCATGACAAAATCATAACTCCAGATCCCCCCTCGCTACTCTGCAACCCTATCATCTGCTGCAGTTGTGTAATTGACTCGCACCATTGCTTACGATTGGACGGAGAGCTGCGAAGCAGCAATTAGGGACTTCGTGGGAAGGCTGGAGGCGCGATTCTCAAACATCTCTTGAGAATTCCGAATGACCTCTTGGGGTTGCTTCTGAAGTCTGGCCTGCTCTGGGATCTCTGAGGCAGTGGTTGAGCTTGTGATGGCATGATTGGTGTTCTGAAACAAAATTTCAACCACCAGTCGAGAATTTAATGGCAATCCCAATCTCGGCACTGGAACAACGCGAGAGAACCTCACATTAATGTAAGCGATGGAGATTGAGAAGAATACCTTGACATCGACCTGGCATTGGAGCGCGACAGCTGCGGCGTGAGAGCCTTCCTCTCCACTGAGCCAGATTTGTCCAACTCCCTCTTGGAATGTACCACCTGCGCCGCTGAATTCAGTCCCGCCTCTGCGCCTGGCGCCGCGTTGAATCGCTCGGCTTTTCTGAGTACCTCTTTACTTGATAGCTTGGAAACATCTATCTTCGGAGATGAAGGGAGCTTTTCGGAGTATAGGAAATCGTGAAGGGTTTTGCTGCCACGCCGTTGCTTTGATTCTTCAAAGAAAGGCCAGAACTCCTTGGAGATACCAACATTGATGAAATTCTCGTCCCCTGACGACGAAGAAGAGGAAAATGCAGAGGATGTTGACGACGATGCAGAGTCGGTCGATTTATCCGAAAACATTGCATTCACTTCAGGACTCTCCCTCTTGAATATTTTCAAAGGTGACAATGACCTGAACTTCTGCAGCCTCTGGCAGATGCCGTTTTCTTGCTCTGGCTCCAGCCCCAGAATTGGCCAGGCGGTAGAATGCAGGGCTCCTCTTTGAGGACTCTTGGACCTCCCACGAAGTGACAGCAGCTTCAATGGTGAGCTGCCCGATCGCGGCTTCCGAAAAGACCCCTGAAGAACTCCCCCATCGGAGCCAGGGGATGAATCAGTGGAATCTTTTAACTGTTTCACTGCCTGCAGCCGGGGAGGAAGCGTCAAGGGCAACAGCTGGCCATGAAAGAATAGCTCGTCAGCGGAGGCAATGGAGGAGTCGTTCAGAGCATGAGTTTCCTCCGGAGGTATGAACCTGGCACTGCTAAAGTCGAAATCGGAGGTGGAGGACTGACGGGATAGCCTCTCCGGGCTGCTTGATCTGCTCCGCGACCCAAGCTCTCTCTCCTCCACGTCCATTTCACTGGACCCGTCATTGTTCCTGCTACCCCTGCTTCTTTTTGGAGTGCCAGGCCTGAGCTCCCATTCGAAGGGGACAGCGCAATGGACCTCGCCTAATGGCGTCTCCTCAATTTCCCTAAGCGAAGCTCGTCGGGGACTGGTGGGGGCGCTCAGGAAGTAGGGGGTGGAGGTGGTGCTAACCTCATCATCGGAGAATTTGTTGGAACTCCTGTTTCGTCTTGGAGATATGCTGAGACGTGCCAAGGTGGCGAGGGTCTCCATCTTCTGAGCTGTCAGTGAGTTTAGTTCCTCGAATGTGCGAAGGGCTTCGAGCATGAATATTTAGTGCTGTGCTGGAGATGATTTACGGATCGACCGGCCCAGAGAACATTCGATTGTCCATGTCGTAACTGCTGAAGAAATCCATGAGGAGACGAGAATGCGGAACCAAAGTACTGAGAATTTGCTAATCGAACAGAGTTGGTGGAGAAAGAGGGCACAATGTGTTTGCCGAAGCTAGATCGTCACGTCAGATCCAATGTGAGATGTAAAGCTGGCGGTGCTCAACGTGGCCGAATTTCGAGAGCTCATAAAAAACATCTGCAGGGAAGGGAGAAACCGCGTCCTTGTGCTTTGTTAGCGCGTCATGAGTGAATTGGGAAAGTTGGTAGTCTAGAAGACAAAAAAGAAGCTCACACACTGCATAGCACCAAAATCGGGCAGCTCAATTCGTTCTTTCACAAACACGTGACAGATGTTGAACCACGAGATCGAGCAATAGTAAACACACGCATCTCAATAAGCAGAACCTGAAGTTTAGACTCCAATTGTAGCTGTGGCTGGGGATAAGAAACCATTATTCAATTCTAAATAGCTAAGTAGCGAAAGAGCACTAGTAGATTTCGAAGTCATTCACCTGCAACCTCAGCTTGATCAGGTTTCAGCCAGTCCAACAAGCAATCCCCCAAAAATTAACCTCCAGCGAAAGCACTCTGTCCTCACAAAAGACTACCCTTCAAGAAAGATTGGCGAAAAAACGGATTCAGAAGCTGAGAGCATTGCCGACTGCAAACAAGGAAGTAACGCTACATGACCGACAGAGGTAGGAGAGATTACCTACTTCAAGTTCCGACTCGAAAATTGCACCTCGTGTTACCAGTTGTAAGAGCAGTCGCCGTCATGAACCCTCTCTCACGTCGGAATGATCGAATCCTCCACAACAGAGGGGGCGCATCTGGCGTAGATATGCTGGAAGAGCAGAACTACTGCGACGCGGGTTTTCGGTGGGTCCCACTAGCTCCTTGCCGCTTCTTGGTCTCTGGTCCGATGGAGATAGTGATGACGGTCATTGCGTCTACTACGCTGGCCTTTTGGTAAACTGCATGCCTCCGTTTTCAAACTCCAGGGTTGAGTCCACGCATCTGACCGTGTGACTCTGCCTGCTTTCCACTCTGCCTCTCCTACAACGCATAACCCAGATTCTCCGGGATGAGAGAGTGTTGTTGTGTCTGGGACCTCCCTCCATGCCGCATATTTTTATCTGCTGTGGGCGACCCCCGTCGGATCCGGTGCAAACAGACATGCCCTCTGAAGTCAAAGCCAATACAGTGATGATGGTACACTCCATGTATTAGTGGGTATATATATATATATATATATATATATATATAAGGTTTTTCAGTTATATACTTATGTATCCTTTTGTGTGCTTTACATTGTGAGAACCAGGGTCCGAGATTTTTCAGAACTTCCACATCTTGCATTACTGTGGGGTTTTGGGTGACAACTTCTGGGGTTGTACATTTGGTGTCTGGCTGCTGTAACCCTCTCTCACAGCTAGATAAGAGTACTTGGACTTGGCTAACTGACACCTACTGTTCACCAAACTCAGTTAGAATGCATTCCTGATAATGTACAAGTCAGTAGCGGTAAACTGAGGGTATATAGATAAATTCCATAATGTTTAATGCTATCTCCCAAGCAGTTGAAATTGTAACAACAGAAAAATAAATAAACTTTTTCATCCAGCGTCCACGCATACAACAAATGCAACAATAATATTCTTCCAAGATTTATCCATGAGACATGACAGTCGAATAATACTTTTTGACATGTTCTATTCTGTGTGGTTGTCCCCAGAACATATTGTGCTACATGTCACATTTCAGCAAGCCAGATGGAATTCCACAATTAATCATGTGCTGGTTTAACTCCGAGGCAATTACTCCAAGGAGAACATTAATGATGTGAAAATTTGGAGGGGGGCAATGCTTCAGAATGCTTTCAATTGACCACATCTTACAGTAGTTGCTCTTCATTGAAAAATCTGTACCTTGGTCCAGTACTTGGAGATAGAATGTCCTTCCGAGGATGACGACAGAAATATGCTGATGAGGAGTGTTGAATGGATGGGTGGATGGATGTGAGAGCAATATAGTTTGGGGTTAATATGAGAAAGGAAGAAGACTGTTTCACTTTGACAGATGTTGGTGAGGTGGAGCTGGATAAAGAGGTGGCCAGCTCCAATGCCTCCTTTTTCTCCTCTCTCTCACATTAGCAAGGAGCTTTCTTTGTGAGGGAGTGTATTTTAGGGCTCTGTGATGGAAAGAGGGCATCAAGGAGTTGCAGTATTTTGTCAGTTGGAAGAAACAAGTCAGTTGTTTCATAGTCTTATCAAGAAAAAAGTGGAAGGGGAAAAAATAAAGTCTTCACAAGACACTTGTGGTCTGAACGGCATTCCCACCGAGTTCAATTGTGTGGCATGGTAGCCACACAATGACCATACATTCCATCATTCAATTAGTACATCCCACATTATACCTTTGCATTAGTCACATGAAAAATCAAGCTCCCTCCTCCTTCTCCTTCTTCTACTCCCTTCTCTTTTTTCTTTTTTTTTTTTTTTTTTTTAAATATATATATATATATATATATATATATATGAAAAATATATAATATGCTCATACACAAACACGTAAAAAAGTGTGAGAACAAGCTTTTGGAAATGTGGTCTTGCTGCCCATGTAACGAGTTGCAAAATTTCATTTTCCGGGAGGCCTGGATTGAAAGCAAGACCAGATTTTTCCTTGCTCGTGCCCAGAAAAGGAATCCCAAAAGTAGAAACCCTGAGCTTACACAGAGGCGGTTTGGGCTTTAGTCAACTCTTCAGGTTTCAGAATTTTCCCGCAGAAAAAGGGATGGAATCTTCAACATAGTCTGCTGAAAATAGCCTCAAAATCTTGGACTTGCCAATCAACAAGTCTTCTGATTGACATTGAGTGAAAAGACTACTGATCTCGCTTTTAAAACTTTCTAAATACATATTCAACTGTAGTTATGACACATGGATGAAGTTTCAGTATTCATTGGTGCATTCAGAATGACAACTGGCTCTTGGAAAAGAATCACTAAAATTCTAGAGACTTCCATGTCAGGAACCACCAACATTGTTGGATGATTACACAGAGAATCAAACCAATTCATGGAATACAAATAAACACTAATATTTGCCCTTGTTGGTCCCTATAGTTTCATGGAATCTGTTATAACTCCAACCAAATGGCTGGATTTAGTGCATTATTTAATTGTCAAAGAATGCTTCAAAAATTCTTATACACAGAATCAAGTTCAGATTATGATTAATATTATTCTTTATACAATAAAACTCTTAGAGTATGGCATGCCAAGAAAACTATATTAAAATAATGTGTTAATTTATTTGAGAAGTTAAAATTACAATTATATATAAACGCTTATTTTGACTAGATTACATAGCTCATTGAGAACACAGCTAATTATATCAAATTCTGTATAAAAATATCATATTTTGTATCTGTAGAACCTGAAACAAATAAAACACTCTGTAGTATAAAATTTTGAAAGTTTGTGTGATGAGCTTTTTAATATTTTATAATCATCAAACAATCAAGATTATTTTGGTTTCTTGTTTTTGTATTTATAATTTTCTTTGAAATTTTATTTTAAACTATTAATTACAGATTTCAGAGCAGAATTAAAGCAAGATTCAAAGCTGAAAGTGTGTCCCAATTCCCAAGAACAAACATTGTTGAAAGGAAGAGCCAAAAAGGCATTTGAAGGTTGACAACCAAAAAAAACTAAATTGAGTTTTAAGTATTAGTCCCTACAATTAAAAAAAATCAGGATCATAATATTGAATTGTTGTGTTGAAATATCTTACCTTGCTTTGATGGACTGGTAGCATGCTTGGATATTCAAAACTAAAAGCTATTGAACATGTACCATCTGTTTCAAAGGTTTCCACAGAACCAAAACCAAAATGATGAACTTTCCTTCTTTGTTTCACGAATGTGAATGATGCCCAGAGAGAAATGTGAGATGCAAATGTGCAACATTCTGCTTCAACACCATAACAAAAAAGGGGGCAACTCACCACAGAGTGTCTTCCAAAAGAAATGAAGATGCAAATGGCATGAAATCAGGAGGCTTGTTGCTGGTGAAGACAAGGGTTCCACTTCACCATCATCCCCCCCTCCCCTCCTGGTTGACACCAAAAGCATGTGAGAAAAAGACACGAGGCAGCATCATAGCTGCTACTTGACTTTTACACAACTTAAGTAGCTTCATCAACTGTAGATACCCACATATTAAAAGGCATGAGAATGAACATTTTACTCTAAACTAGGGAAAAAGATTTATCAGCCATATCCATATCATTTCACCAAATGATGTTAAATCCATAAGCTCTCATGGAGACATAATGCCAAAGGCCATCATGTTAGGGCAGACTCAACCTCACAGAAAGTGTGAGAATGTCTCTCCCTCTTGTTTCCTCTGACCATTTTGCTGCCTCACAGGTTGACTTTTTGCACAGCTACTAACCAGATGATATCCTCTGAGACCAATGAGCCTGACAGTGGGCCCAGCCATGGCATACACATTGACTAATCTCTGACCATAGCCTACATGAGCACCATGTCACCATTGTCAAATTCAAAGGCTGATGCTTATCTTAACAGCACTCATTTCAATCCTATGCCTAATATTGCCAAAATATGGAAAGAGGTCCTTCAAATGTGTCCACACAGCAACAACTCTGATCCAACTTCCAAGCAGGCTCAAGCTCTCACCCAAGAGCATGAGGAAGAGGGCTTTATTGGCTCAAAGTTCGTGTTTTCATTCACATGTTAGGAACCAAGTTGAAAAACTACTGTCACACAGGTTCAAACTCTGCTTCTGGATTGGTACTTGGACAAAGATAAATAAAAAACCAGGTTTATAACTTTTTGAAAGCCTCAGGTTGTGTGTGTGTCAAACATCAGCAATGGTCTGGGATACTGATGCAAAATGGTGCTGGTTCAGGATTAAATGCAATTAATTGTGTGACCATCTCTAGTTACTAGCTGCAAGCCAAACTAATAGGACTCTCAAATCAACCCAACTTTGAATAACCAAATAATTTGAGTCTTTGCATTGTAAGGTTCTTTGATGCATAACATGACAACAAAAGGCAACCAGGTTGTATGGAACAGACAATGCCAGGCAGAGCATTGGCCTGCCAGCCCACATCATCTACTCCTCTTTTCTGCAGACATATATTCATATGAGAGTTTTTTAAGGTTTAAAAATGGTTGAATGGAGCAAATAAAATTGTTTTACAAGATAGGATCAAGATGACTGTTCAAAACAAATAGATTGCTATCAACATGAGTTTTACTTGTAATTCAGAAGTGCACCTGAAGGGGAGTTTTAAAAGTAGGAGATAGATGGACCAAACGTGGAAGCACAGCTTCTGCGGAAGCACCAAAGGGGGTGGGAATCCCCCCAATATAAGCAAATTTATGGATTTGAATGAATTTATTGTAGCACATAATGAGTGGACTAGCTGGAAGCATTATCAGAGAAGGGGAGAAACCTCAACCTCCATAGGGTCACTACAACATTAGAGAAGGAAAGAAACCTCAACCTCCATAGAGTCACCGCAACATCAAAGAAGGAAAGAAACCTTGACCTCTGTAGGGTCACCACAACATCAGAGAAGAGAGAAAACTTCAACCTCTATAGGATCACTACAACATCAAAGAAGGGGAAAAATCTCAACCTCTACAAGATGACCACAACATTGGAGAAAGGTGGAAACCTCAACCTCCATAGGATCACCACAACATCAGGGAAGGAAGGAAACTTCAACCTCCATAGTGACACTATAACATCAAAGAAGGGATGAAACCTTAACCTTAATAGGGTCACCACAACATTAGAGAAGGGAAGAAACCTCAATCTCTATAGGATCACCGTAATATTAGAGAAGGGAGGAAATCTCAACGTCTATAAGGTCACTATAACATAAGAGAAGGGAAGAAATCTCAAATTCCATAGGATCAGTGCAATATCAGAAAAAGGAGGAAACCTCAACCTCCATAGGAATACTATAATATTTGAGGTACAAAAGAAATTATCTTGCAGAGATATCAAACAATCAAATATATGATAATAAGAATGTATGAATTGAGCAATGACTTTCCCATTTGGT